GCACCCTGGTTTGTAAGAAACAACTCTCTGCACTCAGATTAAAAAAAATCCCTTGATCCAAAATTGCATAACCACCTATGTCAGGACTTCTTAACATTTAAAAAGGTTCTCGGCATCCTACATTTTAGTCCCACAAGTAGGTGCTACATACTCAACCCCGAGACTTAGAAATCGGTTCCCTTCTACACCTTCCTCACACATAACGTTGAAGTATCTAAGTCACTAAATCAATTGGAGGTACTCGATTGAGTTTCCCTCATCGACATTAATGTGTGTTATTTGCCTTGTTTGCTAGTGATGTGTTACGTCTTCAGAGTTCAAGTAACATCTGAAAGAGGCAAACGGCTGAACGATATAATATCAATCTCTCAATAAGGTTGTTTGTATTAATAAAAAAAAAAATATCATGACTGATATGGATTCACGAGCCTCATAGCCGTCACGGATAGGGAGAACGAGTTGAAACCCGCACCTGAAGGAGAGTCTCAATCGGGGTTGGGACGAATCAAAAGATGTACTACTAGGGGCGCAAAATTGCAATACACTTGAGTACATGCATACATGAGTGTTGTTCACGTTGATTTGCTTGGAATATCCCTGAATAATTTCTGTTTTACTTTCACATTAAAGCACTTTATATACATTTCGTGCCAATTGGAGTAAAATTTTGACCTTTCTAAGAACTTACTCGAACATTTGAAGCTTTGAAGCACTTCTGGAGGCGGCGCTACACCTTTGCGATCTTGAGAGACCTATACACGTTACGAATACCCGCCAGCTTGTGTTTATGCAACTCGAGACTTCACGATCGCTGAAAGCTCTTGCACACGATCAGAATACATTCCAGTTTTTCTCGCTCGGGTTTGCACTTCACGTGCAACGCCATCGCTGTTTGTAGTAACGAATTCAGTGATACTATTACACACCATCAAAACGTAATAACTCTACGTCGAAATGTACAGTTCGAAGTTATCGTGTCCCGGTGTTTACCAATTTCTGATGTGATTATTTTATTTTCTCCATTATTGGGTAAAACTGAATATTTTCTGATTGGAAAAATCTTTGGCGTACGATCAGAATGTTTCAACTAGATGAAAAATAATCTTCAAACTAAGTTGAAAGGGGTTGTAGAGTTAACTCAACATGATATAGCGCTCCAAACATTATTCGCAAATATTATTAGTAAATATAGCGTTAGTTATACAAAGCTGTTAGTGTGAGAAATTAAAAGCGAACTCTTTTTTTATATTTTTCTTTCGATAAATATAATAAATACCATTCAAAACCATTCAAAAAGTGTAATAAAATTCAAAGATTGAATTCAATCAGTAATCGCAAAACTCAGTTTAGGAAACGCGAGAAAGTACACCCCGTAGTTTTGGTCTATGCTTATCTAAACGATTTTGTCCTAATTTCCCACAACACTACGCGTTAAAGAGAGTGCTTTTAAATAACACGCGCGTTTGAGACACGTCGTGAGTTAGTATCTTGAAAATACGACTATCAAAGAAAACTTGGGTTTCCGCTCATGCTTTTCAGACGAATAAACAAGTCTGTGTTTACCAGTACGAGTAAAGCTGGAACTTACGCTCGCGAGCAGGGGCTCCCCGAGGAAGTAGTTCACTGCCTGTAGGGAAATACGAGGAAGTCTTTCAGAATAACTCTACGCTTGTAGAGAATTCTGTCACTCCCTACTCACTTTAATATAGAGTTTTTTTTCAGGTTTTTGGGAGATTATACTGATGGTAATTTCAACAAAAGATATTTATACTCTACATTTTTACTTCTAATTGCACTTCTAGTTTATACTTCTACTCTAGGCTACGTGGAAACTAACTTATAGGAATTTAGCAAGAAAGTTTGATTTTGTATCTTTTTTAAAGTTAATAATTAAGCAGTTATAAAGTCTTAGCCATAGTTGTTGTTTTTTTCATTTCAGAAAAAACAGTACTTGTTTATAGACGTTTCTAGTCTTTAAGGAGCAGTCTTCATGCTTTCTCTATTTCCGAATGTTATCAATATTCTCGTGCATCAAACATCCCGCCACATGCTACACATTACAACAGCACAAACATTTATTTAAAAAAATACCTAGACTGAAGAGCTTCAGTTCGTACACAGGGCGGGAAACAACTTCCTCATATCGCTAAAGACGGAATGCTCGTTTCGTCAGGGAAGATGTCATCAGAAGTGCCGTTATTATTCTGGCTGGGACAGATCGTGTTACATTCTCAAAGCCAAAATTTCCCACCAAATGCAATTAAACATAATTTCTAACGCTGCGCAGAATTGTTCTAGAAACCCAAGAACCGAGTGTCACGATGGTTGTATCCCTATACTTACGAAAGTGGATCTCCGCTTGATGACAAAATTAAATCCATTGAAATTGCAATTTTGTATACATGCAGGGTTGCTACGAGTCACAGTCTTACTACGGCGAAGTACTACCGTAGTAGTGAACAAAAAGTTAATAACGGGAGCACAGCTGGAGGTGGAACGAAAAAATGTTTCTCTGGTGAATTACGAGTCAGATTAAACGAAGCTTTTTCATCGTAACCCAACTTAACCAAATGACAACACGTTTAAAAAGATGAGATCAATGTTTTAAAATTACCTAGCATAAAAAACAGTACAAGGTCAATTACGAATCTATAATCTACTAGATGTTGCATTCATGCACTGTCTTTCTATTCTCATTTAAATTAAATATTTCAATAGTGACCCTCTATTTTTTTTTATAGACAGCGATATTTTAGATAAATAAACGAAGGTTATTAACACTTTTTTAACAACTTAATCATTTTGTATTTATTAACCCACATATGTAATAAACAAATTTAAACCACAATTTTGTGTGCTAAAACTTAAAACTTCATTGTTTTTATATATAGTGGATTTAATTTGATTATTATATATGTGTGTTAATAAATACAATATTATTGTGTAAAAGTGTGAATAACATTCGTTTATATATCCTAGATGTAGCTGTCTATAAACAATAGTGGGTTATTATTAAAATATTTTATTAAAAACTATAATCTATTACCTGTAATATCCTTAATAAGGTATATTAAGCATATCCAACATGATAGTGAACATGAGCAGAAAATGACAACATTAGTAAGCTACAAAACAAAACAATGGCACGAAAATGGGTAAGTCTAAAAAGTTTCAGGTCCATTGAGTCATAGCTTCTCATAACTAGGATCGATACGATACTTGATACGATGGATCATAACTTCTCAGACTATCAACACTACCTCTCTTGTATAAACCCTTTGAATTAAGTAAATAAAATTAAGCACAATACATAAACTACGATATAAAAACACGATTGTAAATTAAGCATATTACAATAATGCATCTCATCTAGTATGAAAAAATGACCTTCATTAAGAAAACGAAAGCATGACATCTGTTATGAAAAAAATATCTTCATTAAGCGAACGTTTTCTATTACGGTATTCAAATGATTACACTGATCCTCATCGCCTGTAATCAGGAACCTATAGAATCGTTGCTCACTAAGAAATTGAAGTCTACTCATCCTCTCATAACATTCTTATATGCTCATTCTATAGATCTTTTCAACCTTTCGAAGGTTGTATTGAATGTCATTCATTGAATTTTAGATTAATTAACTATTTCGTGATTCACGCGCCAACTGCTATGGTATTTAGTTTCGTAGCATGTTTTCATTGCGGGAGGTGGCCAAAATTGTGGAGGCCTTCAGCCCGAGCTAAATTCAATGCCGCTTGATATAGCTGTGAATCTATTGTTTTTTATTCAGTACATAAACATTCCGTGAACAAATGCTGTAAAATTCAGTGATTGGAATGCGCTGCGTTTGTGCATAAGAAAAGGGATACAGCTAAAAATATGTATCGTTAACTTAAATAAAGTCTTTTATTTAGAAAATACTCCATTTTACAAGTAAAAATATCAAAGATAGTTCACAAGATAATCGTTCACTACAGTAAAACTGTCTTCGGCCGGGAAATAAACGGCTCTATTCAGAATAAAAGAGTTCTCCAAAATTGCGATGTTTGAGATGTGATACTTAATTTTCGCACGACACATGAGGCGGTCGGTGTAAATAAAGATATCTGAAATTTCATGAGTTTTAGGAAGATCTAAAGTACAAATGAATCATCAGTCACGCACTGCCGCCCGTTTTCTTGAATCCACTATGTATACCTACACCCTCTCATTCATTAAACCCAACAATGTATTTCGCAAACCAGATACATAAGAATTTTGAAACTTTTCGATTTCTCTAATTTTTAAATTTGATTTCTTTATTTTTGTATTTGAAATTTCGTGTAATTGAACTTCTGAGAGTTGAAGTACTGAACACAACCCTGCAGCTAAGGCAATACGTATTGTCAGTGCACAAGAAAAGTTACAACTCAAACAGTATCATTTTGCAGAACAGCTCTTTTACTGAGCTCTGCCGTATTTCGTAGCCAGATACAAAAAGTTCTACAATTTATACCGGGCACCTTGTGAAGCATCATTTCGCTGGCAGAATTGTTGTCGTTCGCGGAAGAGAGTCGGGTCCGGTCGGGTCGTTCGCTTGGGGTACGCTAAGGACCCATACGGTGCCACTAGGGAGCTTTTGCACGGTGAAGCGTTACAGTAATCGACAACTCCATCGATCTTTTGCGCATGCGCAGTTCAAGTTTCGTGTCACTTGTGCATCTGCGCATGCGCCACAAGATCGAGATCACAGGTGATTTCTGTACGCCGTGATGCCGAGTAAGATCACTCTACTTCGCCGGCCTGGATAGAAGAGGCTGAAGTGTCACGGGTTCGAATCTCGCCTCAGGCATGGATGTTTGTGAGTATTTGTGTTTTCCTTACGTGTTCTCTCTACAGTTATCAATCACAGAAGAAGAAAAAAAACAGTGGTCGCTATGGCCTAGAAGTCAAGAAGCGATAAGCTTAAAATGCAGACATTCAAAACATTGCGATTCGTGGAGCAGTGCGCATGCGCTCACCTGCGACGGCCTGCCCTCGAGCAGCGCCAGCATGGCGGGGCAGTCGCGGATGACGCGGCAGACGCCGGCGCGGCCGTCGGGCGCCTCGCACAGGTCGCCCTCGCTCCGGGTGCCCAGGCGCAGCGCGGCGAGCGGCCCGGGGGGCGCGGAGGGCCAGGGGCGCTGGGCGCGCGCCAGCCCCGCC